TAGCTTCCCCCTCTTTCAAGGCTACCTCCCGCGGAGCTAAAGAGGTTAATAACCCCTTCAATAACTTACCTGGGTCAAGCGGCAATGTCTCTCGGCCCTGGCTCAGCTTCGCCCACGCTCCTGCCCCGCCGGCAGAGACCTAATGCGCATGCGCGGTAATGGCCACACTCGCATTAGGATCTACTCATAGGAAAGCATTATTACCCTGTTCACAACAATCACTACTACAAACAGCAGTTTATTTTTTTGCCTGGTTACAGCTGTCTGCTGGAATGCTTTAGCGCTCCTTTGAGCATTGGATAAAAAAGACATCAGTCTGCTGCCTCCCTCTCTGCTTAGAAGGGACCATTCACTTCTCGCATCCAACGCTGAACTGCCCTGAAACTCAAAATGGATTCTTGAATATTACCATATAACCAGTCATGTGGTCAGCCCCTCGCCATCTGCTGGCCACTACACAAAACTGCAGGGTAGTCAGAGCGATATCCCAGTACACCTCTTTTATGTTTCAGAGAAAACTTATCACTGCAGTGTAATGTAACAAAAAGCCGATCATGATGCACTGCTATCACTTAATGTAAAAGATAATAGAGATTATACGTACAAGTGTCATTTAGTATAAGGCATTCTAAAAGAGTACTGTGATGGAACTGATCCAACATTGACCATTACAGTGAAAGAAAAAAATACTTCATATCATGATTCATGGCTTTTTCAGCTTGTAATAATATTATTTCAGCTGAATCTGATCTGAATTTCTGAAAGCCAGTCATTTGATTTCATTAACCATTAACCATTTTTTGCTTACCTTAATCCAGTGCCGGGCTCACTCTGCACTGGTGACCTCTCTTCCTCCATCGACGTCAGCTTCCGAGTGGAGACGAATGCGCATGTGCGGCCAGATGCGCGCGCACATTCAATCAAACCCGCCCATAGGAAACCATTATTCAATGCTTTCCTATGGGGATCTTTTTTGACGCTGGACTCGGTGAGGACGTCCAGCGTCAAATAACTGTGATTTACTCCGGGTAAATTGCGGAAAGCGGCCTCTAGTGACTGTCAGGGAGTCAGCCACTAGAGGCTGAATTAACCCTGCAATGTAAAGATAGCAGTTTCTCTGAAATTGCTATGTTTTCAGCTGCAGAGTCAAAACTAGGGGGACCTGGCACCCAGACCACTTCATTGAGCTGAAGTGTTCCAGGTGCCTATAGTGGTCCTTTAACACTTGCCTCCATTTTTTAACAGTGTGGAATAGATGTGCCTCACCCTTGCCTGTGGTATTTGTCTAACAGACATAGCTGTACCTAACCTAAAATGGCTGCTATCATACTTAAGGTCTTTCAAGGGGTATGCTGATGCTGTGCATGTTACATTGCTGAGTGCTGAATTTTTTAGTTGCCTGTTTTCCCTCACATTTGTTAAAGACAGTCTCAAGCTGGACAGTGATTTTGTTACTGCTTTGGCTTCTGCACTATACTCAGTTCCATCACAGTTAAAATTAGGCTGTGAGCGCCACCTACAACTGACCATAACAGATACACAATGTGAGACACCTGCTGTCTCACTCTATTTGTATCCTTTTCCTACCATCCAATTCAGCCAATTTCTCCCACGCTTCATCTTTTTTGCCTTTCTCATTACAGTGTATTGTAGTGATTATGGTGCCAGGCAGCGGCGGAACTTCCTTCCATCTATGGATAGAGCCTGCACGGGATGCAGAAGAGGCGGCATAGGCAGCATGGGGGGTGGTGGGAGCAATAAGAGAGAGCTGCCCCTTATCTCGTCAACCTCAGCCAGCAGCAAGACCCCACGCAATCCACCCTCCTGCACACAATAGGTAAATTAACAGGAGGGTGGCTGTAAATATAAAACTTATGACATGTATGTATTTAGAAATGCCAACTCTTCCAGTAGTTCCGGGAGACTCACACATATTTAATATGGCTCCCTGACACCCGCAAATCCAGACATCCCAAGTCTCCCGGTAGTTCCGCATGGTGAATGGGGCTCCCTGACACTCACAAGTCATACACAATATCCCGAAAATCACACACATAATATGATGTGTGTGTGTGATTTCCATTACATTGTGTATGATTTGCACCCCCTAACACCCCCATACTACTCATTAAACAGGGGCCCGATCGGGTGCAAGCCCTTTAAGAGCCGACTGAGCCCCTGTGATATCAGCCGGCAGGGAGGAAGTGAAGACAGCCTATCACTTCCTCCCTGCTTCACAGAGAGCTGCCCACCCGGGAGGACTGGAGAGGAGGCAGCAGCAGCATGGAGGTACAGGAGAGACTGAAGTGAGCTGCTGTTGCATGCTCACTCCCATCAGCCTCAGCAAGAACTCCAAGCAAGCCGCCCTCCTGGACACAAAGGTAAGCTAACAGCAGGGTGGCTGCAAATATATAAAGTATGACCTGTGTGTGTGTCAGATTGTGTATGTGTCTGTGTGCCAGTATGTGTATCTTAGTGTATGTGTCAGTGTGTATCTGAGTCTGTGTATCTGTATGTCAGTTTGTTTATCTGAGTGTGTGTATCTGAGTGTGTTTCAGTGTGTGTATCTGTGTGCCAGTGTGTGTATTTGAGTGTGTGTGTCAGTGTGTGTATTTGTATTTTAGTGTGTGTATCTGAGTGTATTTGCCATATATCTGAGTGTGTGTATCTGTATGTCAGCGTGTGTGCTAGTGTGTGTATCTGTATGTCAGTGTGTGTATCTGACTGTGTGAGCTAGTGTGTGTATCTGTATGTCACTGTGTGTGTGCCAGTGTGTGTATCTTTTTTTATCCACTTGAGAAAGCCCTAAGGGGAGAAATGCGTTGTGGAAATTTTAACTAACTGTATTTTAATAACGGTATTTTGGCCACTTTCTTTGTTGTGAGTTAGCCACATTTTTTTTTTAAATTCTTTTATTATTTTACTACCTGGCATCTGAGTTTTACTTACTCCAAAGCATGCTTGGTGGGGATTATACCACTTATGCCCTATCATTGAGCAGTGCGTCTGCCCAATTAAATGTAAGTAACCATTTGGTATTTTTATGCACACTCCTGGATTTATCCAGGGCCGTTTGAAGGAATTTGGGGACCCCAAGCAAAATGGACATGGAGGCCCCCCTACACACGCATGCAAAGCCTACAGGAACCACACCATAGCCATACAGTTTAAGTTCACCCACACTTTATATAAATAAAAAAGGTTTACAGTGCAATACTGCTGTTGCATATAATATGCATAAAATTTGAACATTTTCAACAATTTAACAATTGCAAAAAACACCACTGTACCATAAAATCAAATATACATTAAAAAAGTGCACAGTAACTAAATCCAACATACTTAAAACACACACACATGCATACACACTCACATTAACATTTTTCAGTTCTCACAAACGTGCAAATTAACTGCTGTGCACGTAGTGTGAAAGAGCTCCCTGTCCTTCCCCCCTGTCCTACAGAGCTCTCTCTTCCGTCCCTTAGAGCTCTGCCCTGCCCCTTAGTGGTCTTTCCTCTCCCCCCACCCTCCCCTACCAGTCTCTTCTCACCCCCCGTGTTCTCCTCATCTCCGCTTCTCCTCACCCCCCCCTGTGTTCTCTCTCATCTCCTCACCCCCGTGTTCTCCTCATCTCCTCCCCCCCTCCCTGTGTTCTTCTTACTCCTTCCCCCCCCCCATGTTCTTCTTACTGCCCCGTGTTCTTCTTACTCCTCCTCCCTATGTTCTTCTTAGGAGGAAGAGGAGCTCAGCCACGCTACAGGGAAGGGGAGGTGAGGAGAGAGGAGTGCTGCAGCCGCCTGAGGCTCTCTATAGAGCGCTCAGGCGGCTGAAGCCTTATAGGAAGCGCCGGCTCTGCTTGGGGCCCTGGGCCCCAAGCAATTGCTTGGTTTGCTTGCCCGCTAGCGACGGGCCTGGTTTTATCACAGTGAGCACTATTGTTGTTTTTTATGTTACATATTGTCCCCATCCGACAAGATATCTACTTACAACACTCCCTCACATATCCCATAAGTGGGGATTATACCACTGTACGCTGTTTATACTAGAGCTAGTTTTTAGCTCTCAAAAACGTGAGTAGCACCATATAGACCTTTTTTATTGGCTGCTACCTATTTGGGTTTTATTGCACTATTAGATTTTCTTTTCTCTTTCATATGGATCCCACAAACCCCTTGATCCCACTACTTCATAGACGTTTCTACCTCAGATAGAACTGTGATTGTTCTCTCATCCTAGGGTTTTACTGGAATCTTTTTGGACTGTTCTTTATATATATATATATATATATATATATATATATATATATATATTTATTTGTTTTATATATTTTACAAGGAAAGGTTAAAGGAACTTAACATGTATAGCTTGGAGGAAAGACGAGACAGGGGGGATATGATAAAACATTTAAATACATAAAGGGAATCAACATAGTAAAGGAGGAGACTATATTTAAAAGAAGAAAAACTGTAGCCACCTTCCTGAAATGCATTTTTGCATGTTGAGATGTCTGCAAATCATATATAAATATCTGGAGAGAGAGAGAGAGAGAGAGAGAGAGAGAGAGAGAGAGAGAGAGAGAGAGAGAGTGTGAGTGTGTGTGTGTGTGTGTTATATATGCTAAATGCCCACAATAAATTCCCCTTTCAGATTATCCACCAGATGGATATTATCAATAAATAGGGGCCTGTCAGGTGCCAAGGCTCTTTAAGAGGGAGGGGGAGGAGGAGTGAGCTCCTACATTCTCACTCCCATCAGCCATGTGCCAGTGTGTGTATATACCAGTGTGTGTATCTGAGTGAATGTGCCAGTGTGTGTATATCTGTGTGTCTTTGGGTATCTGAGTGTGTGTGTGTGTGTGTGTATGTGTGTATTCCAGTGTGTGTATCTGCCAGTGCATGTATCTTAAGGTGTGTTAAGGTGTGTATTTGCCAGTGTGTTTGTGTGTGTGTTAGTGTGCATGTTTTAATAGTGTCTAAATAGTTGTCTTCTGTCATAATTAAATATCATGTCCTTGTTCATACATGTTGGTGGCTGTATGTGTATCTCTGTAGGGCGTGCATGCTTGTGTGTGGATGCGTGTGTGGGGTGCAGTTAGTGGTGAAGCCACCTCCCTGAAATTAGTTTTTGCATGTTGGGATGTCTGATGCATGTCAGTGTATGTGTGTATATGACAGTCTCTGTGTGTCAGGGTGTGTGTATATAGCAGTGTGAGTGCCAGTGTGTTTGTATGTGTATGTTAATGTGCATGTATATCTGTGAAAATATGTATGTGGCAGTGTATGTGTACATACATTCCAGCAATCAAAAACAAACACAGCATAAAAACAGACTCCTGCATTCAAACTCCAAAATTATATACAAACCCACCCCTACATTCAAACACCAATACTACATACAAATGTACACCTGAACTTAAAAGCCATCACTGCATACAATCACACCACTGCATACAAACGCAAACATTCCACACAAGTATACCACTGCATTCCGATGACAACAGTACATACAAATACACCCCTACATGCTCATACATACTCTATACAAAACATGCTTACTTTTAAATGCACAAACACTGCTCACAAATACAACCCTGCAAAGATGGGTAAATGGTAGATCCCCAGCTGGCAGAGTATCTTGGGAGTTGTATGAAGATGGGGGTGTTCCTTTTGGCCACTCATGCTAGAGGGGGGCACAAAATGAATATTTGTATCAAGGCCTTCTCTACATTCTAGTTCTGCCACTGGTGCCAAGATTTTGGAACTACCAGCCACCAGGCAGTACCAATATTGGACTATTGAGACTTGTTTTAACTTTTTTATACAAAACCATCAAATATTTTATTTTATTGGACATAATGCACTTTGTTTATTTTATTCTATGAAATAAAGCTTTTTTTAATGGGAGAGTGTAACGAGAATATACCCCTACACGCAGGATCCAGCTAAACAGAGGCAAATACAGAGGAGAGATACGTCTACCGGACCTTAGAATGGCCGGACTCGACGTATATGAGAGGAGACAGAGCCAGGAACAAACCGAGGTCAAGGGCACAGAGAGACAGCGTAAACTAGGACAAGCCGGGGTCTGGTACACGGAAAACAGCAAGCCGGCAAACAGTACAGATAAGGATAAAGCGAAAACGAAGTCAGAATACGAAGCCAAAGTCAATACGAGAAAACACAACTGAACACCACAAGCGCTAAAGGGAACTGAAACAGAAACCACGATAGGGCAACGAGCTAAGGGAAAAAGGTAAGTTTAAATAGCTTTAAAACGAAAGTGATTGGCTCCTGTCACTTCCACACCCCCTATAGGTAATTGTACAGGGAGTGTGGTATGACAGGAGCCAATGGGAGCCTTTTGGCAATTAGGCTCCCACTGTCTCTTTAAGAGCGCGCCCGAGACTCGCGGCGCGCTCTTAGTTTCAGGCGGGACACGTGACTGCCTCACGCGGTCACTGCCCGCCTTCCATCCAAAGCAGTTGGATGAGCCGCGCGCGGCTCGTGCAGCCGCAGGACCGCGCGCGGCTTGAAGAGAGGACCGCGACCGGCCCCCGGTTTAGGTAAGTAACGCTACAGAGAGAAGGTTTACATCTCATCTTTATCCCAGAAGCTTTAAAGACTACCCAAGGACCAGCTGGAAGAAGGATGGGGACATCCTATTAAGAGTCCCTCTGCACTACCCATGAGAGCCATATGTTATAATTTGGCTCCAGGCTTGTGAGTACTTGATATCCACAATATCTCTACGTTATTTATACTGGCAATATTGCACCATGTTATTTTGTTTTTCTTTATAAAATCATCAGACGTGTTCCACCTATTGCATGTATTTTTGAGGATTCTTTAGTGAGCTACAAGTGGTCCTCACTCAGGTGGTTTGTAGCTGTTATTGCTACCACACAGACTCATTCACTGTATATTTCACCTTTCACTTTTATAGGTGTCTAGATAAGTTTGCTTCCTACCCCGGGTAGTCCAATGCAGCTCTTCTAGGGTACGTGTGTTTTCCACTCTATCAATCCACTGGTTATCCACTGGTTTACAGTAGGTATATGTGGTGATCTCCAAGGTACCGGTATCAGGGCATTTGCTTCCCCCAGCAGCAACCACAGGAGTGTTTGACTATTTCTGTCTGGGAATGTGTTAGGCCAGCTCAATAATACCTGGGATGGGGTTAGTGTCGCTGGGAGTGGTATAACTTTTTCTATAATTGCTATAGCCTGGGTCCAGTAGGTCTGGATTTCTCAACAGAACCACCAAATATGTTCTATATTGAAGGTAGGTTTACCTATCTGACGCTGTACCTTGTGGCCTTCTTCCTGCTACCTTGTTCGGCACCTGGCACTTCATCTGTTAGGTGCTTCGTCAGTGCTGTACCTTTGTGTACGGGCAAGAATGTATGGAGGCGTGTGAAGGAACCTGGTACCTCTCTGGATCACATCTCGTGATGAGTGAGACAAGCGTCACTTGTGCCTGCTCCTGGAATTGGACAAAAGTGGACAATGGACCTCTGCTTTTGTTAACCTCATTATTATTGGCATTTTCTATAGCACCAAATATAAATACATCTATATAGCACCAACTCAGTCATGCTTTACAATATTATGAAAGGTTGAAATTTAACAATTAATGAGACACTTAAAAAAAAGTTACAGGAACAAAAATATTTGTCATATGGTATCTTTAGACTGCATTGGAATTTCAACAGTCAGCATAAGTCTATCATAATGATCATTACTTTATTAAATACTTGGAAATGACGAAGCCGCTTTAACGTATGTTTTGGTTTTCTTAACTTTAAACAATATGTTCTTAAAAGCTCCACCAGATTGTCTGGTGAGGGATCCACCATCCCACACTTACAAACATGAACTGAAGGGCAGCTTCCAGTCCTGTTGTCCCCTGAAATGCTGGGATAATATTGTTTCATCTTTGGAGTTATTGGCTAATGATCTCCATGGGTGAAATATAAAGCATGGGAATTTATTGCAAGTACAAAAGTGCCAAATTAGTCCCAAGACGTCTTTCACCCAGGCACCTCTTCCTATATATTAGCTTTAAGAGAGGAATGGTTAGCTGTCTGTGAAAGCAAACTGTGTTAAAGCCAGTGGCTGTTTATCACCTTCTCCAGGACATGGGGGGGAGAGAACTCACATTACTAGTTGAGGTATTAGCCAAGATCAGGAAAGATCAAAATAACTAATCAATGAAAGTGTATTTATCTCCCGTGTGATCACTTAGATACAACTCACTGCAGTCACTCAGCCCCCAGCTATTTATTTAGTTACAGCGCTATTTGACACTGCTTACCACAAGTGACATGGCCGAAACGGGAACGTTACGTCATTGAACTGAGCGCCGTGATTGGACGACCTGACCTGACGTCAAGGAAGGGCAAAGCGATTAGCGGAAAGATGGCGGCGCCCTTGCTGGGTATGTTACAAGTGTTTTAATGACTGCCACTGATATGGATACTGTTATTAACTGCTGTAGACAGTAAACACGTGTTATAGTAGAGATCAGAGCAGCTCAGTCGTTGTTTTCATTTTCTGCAGGGACAATGCTGTAAAGTGTATGTTTTACTATTGAATTGTTGGTGTGAAATGATTGGAGGTTGACATACCCACCATGGTTCCCTTATAACATGTAACATATATATATATATATATATATATATATATATATATGTGTAACAAGGGCTTGCACTCCTGGTTAAATTCTTTATGCTATGTGCAGGTCTGGCAAAATCATGTAGATACAGTAGAAAGGACCACACTCCAAGGTCTAATCAATATAAAAGTCAACGTTTCAGCCCCCACATGGAGCTTTCTTGTCCTGGTAAAATTTTTATATGGATTAAATAAATAAAAGTTAAATTTTATTTGAAATCTATCACAAAGACCTTGGAGTGCGGTCCTTTCTACTGTGTGTGTGTGTGTGTGTGTGTGTATGTGTATATATATATATATATATATATATATATATATATATATATACTCTTACTCTCTCTCTCTCTCTCTCTCTCTTTCTCTCACAGCTGGGCAGTACAACTAGAGTACTGGTTTGCATTTACTGTTTTCATTTAATTGTATTCACTGCAATAACCTGTAGTGGTTGTGGTTTTTGGAGGGGCCCCTTAAAGGGACACTCTCTAAGCAATATAACAACTACAGGGTGCTGGGATGCTTATGGTGTGAAGAGTCCCCAGTGTAAGTATCCTAACTGTTAGCCAACAATTTGCCTTCAAACAAGGGGCTCTACTTTCTCACATCCTGAAGTAAAAGCCAAAAGCTCCTGCTAGGAACTTTACTTAGTTCTCCTGGACTAAGCCCTGCGCCAGTGGGCTAAGTTCAGCGTAGAGAGCTTCCAGCTGTGAGGTGACAGGGAGCAGAATCTGGCAGACCCCAGGTAAGCAGTGAAGCCATTAGAAAAATATAAAAGAACTCTGCTTTTTTCCATAGTAACATTATGTAGTTGACTTATTTGTATATGTTATCAATAGTAAAATCATCAAGAAAAAAATGAACCGCAAAAGTGCTGGAAAGGTGGATTATTTTGAGGTATTATGGAAAAGGAAAATAATCACCAATATAATACATATGAAGTGTGGCATAAAACATATGCATAAGACATTGTGCATGCACACAAAACAGGTATGTGTACTTAAAAAGTAAATCAGAGTTGTGACTAGATTCCATTTCTCACTGCTGCTTGTCTGTCTTCTCAGTAAGAAATCTACACCTCTGTGGACTACAGAACAGGGCAGTGCTTTGCATCACACAGAGAAGCTTGCAGACCAGTGCATCATTATGTGCAGGGCAGGAATTTAGGATAAGGTGAGTTGTTTTGCTGAAGAAAGACCCATCATGTATTTTTTTTTTATCTTGTCTTTCTTAATTTTAACATTTTTTTTTAATGCTTACTAATAGTTGTATTAGAATCATGACCACTAAGATTTTGAGATTTAACTTTTATTAAGGCACTCTCCGTGTTGAAGATAGAATCAGGTTCATAAATGCATACATACCTGTAATCACCACAACAGAGGTGATAAATTGTTTGGCAAATTCATAGATTAGACGATCGATATACTTGGAGATTATGTATCTCGGCCAAGATGGCCATCTAAAATGGAAGCATGTAACTAGATGACCACACCAAAATTGTCATTTTTATTATTGCCATTTATATAACAGCAACTTATTCTGCAGCGCCTTACAATGTTATAATGCGGGAAGTTAACAATAAATGAGGCAATTACAAAGTGTTACAGGAACAATAGGTTCATGAGCACCCTTCTCAAACAAGCTTATAATCTAGAGGGAAGCATACGCACACATATATTTAAATACATTTTGGTGCCCAGAATATTACTTTAACATTTATCTAAATTTTTTGCATATTTTAAATAGGGCAGTCTTATTTAAAATTTATAAAAATGTATTTTGATTCATATCTCCCAAATTTTGGGGGAAATTATTCATAATATTTATTGTTGCATTAAAAGCTGCTGACGAACCTTTGATGTTAACACAATCCCATCATTCACTAGTATGGAGGTGGTGAAAATGTTAGGCTCCATATGTGTGGGAGTGCTGCAAATGGAGGAAGTCATTGGATTTTCCCATTGGACAAAAAAACAATAGTAGCAAGAGAGAATTTATGGTAAAACAGTTATAAAGAGTAACAATTATACTTTTAAAAACTGTTAAGTACAGAAAATGTTTTATTTAGTCTGCATATGTGACACAATCACTTTGCACTTTTGGTGTGATTATGTAATATACGGCACTTTTTTAATTGTTTATTCAAAGGGACTTTGTAGACACTGTACCTGCTTTATCTCTACCTCTGCCATCCTTTATTTCTGCGTTTTTTGTTTTTTTTAAATGGTTTAATGCTAAACAAGAGTTCCTATCTCATTACACTATCTAATATTTTCACAGACATGGTTTTGCTCGCAGTGGATCTGAATATGGCCCTTTGACTGACCTCCCAGACTGGAGCTTTGCAGGTGATGTAAGAGCAGAGGGGGTGTTTATATGTATAGATATGATAGATGGAGACATATATGTATACTGGTTATCATACCAGTAGAAGATGTGTTGAGATTACACAAACAAATAATAAGGTCACCTTTGTGCACTTATTCTCTCCTTTTGTTCCATTACTAAACCCGTCTTGAGACTTCATTCAGGTTATATGAAGTTAGTGCTGGTTATGTAAGTTGTCAAAATCTAAAAATGATAATTCAATCATGTTTTGTGTACCAACACCGCTTAAAGGACCACTATAGTGCCAGGAAAACAAACTCGTATTCCTGCCACTATAGTGTTAATAGGTCCCCCCCTCCCGCCGGGCTCTAGGGGGAGGAAGGGGTTAAAGGCTTACCTCTCTCCAGCGCCGGGCTCCCTCGGCGCTGGGGACTCTCCTCCCTCTTCCCCCGACTGCGCATGCGCGGCAAGTGCCGCACGCGCATTCAGACAGTCCATAGGAAAGCATTCTCAATGCTTTCCTATAGACGCTGGCGTCTTCTCACTGTGAAAATCACAGTGAGAAGCGCGGAAGCACCTGTAGCGGCTGTCAGTGAGACAGCCACTAGAGGCTGGATTAACCCAAATGTAAACATAACAGTTTCTCTGCAACTGCTATGTTTACAGCAGGCGGGGTTAACCCTAGATGGACCTGGCACCCAGACTGCTTCATTGAGCTGAAGTGGTCTGGGTGCCTATAGTGGTCCTTTAAGTGCATTTGATGTTGGCTTCATTATCATGCTATCATTTCTTCACATTCAAATCTAATTTCTAAGAAAGAAAATAAGTTTTGCGTTTTTTTTCATTGCAACTCCACCTGTTTAGATACACCCCACAGAGAAACTGCCTTAATAGCTGTATTCTGAGTATGTAACTAGCTCACCCGATGAGAGATCAGTATTTCAGTTGCAGACATTGCTCCACCCATAGCCAATTACTGTCATGTTATTATTTATCCTGTCTCCATTTAGTTAGCATGGTTTTAAAATACAGATAATTAGACAGTGATTGGCTCTGGAGGTAAAGTCAGTCAGTATCTTTGCTCACACAGAGCCATTCTTTTACATTAAATATTTTAATTTTTTAAAGCAAAATTAAAGAAATTTGCAGAAGTAGAAAAACACAGCAAGAATATGCACGTAAACCATGTTGATGCATAAAGTGTTTCTTTAAGTAAGTAGACCAACATGCTTACTTTGAGAAATAATGTGTTTTTTGTTTTTTTCTGTGATCTATAGATGGACGCCCAGGTGTACCCTGGAAAGGACAGATAAGGAGAAAAGAGGAACGTGAAGCGTTTGCTGTAAGTCTTAGGGGAAACTGGAGAGTTTATTGTGTGTGAAACAATTATTCATTTCTATGTGTAATGAGGAATTTGTGCACAATTTAACATTGCTTGCATATTTGTCCGTGGCCGTATAGCACTGCTAAGACATGCTACACATATAAAAATGCAACTATGCACATTTCTACATAATGGTAAAAGCAAAATCACTGCAATTGTCATACAGGTTAAAGAGAACAATAACATATCCATTTAGTGGAATGTGCTTCTGAGCCTGGATGGCTAATCTATAGTAGAAATCACACCTGGTAGTGTCAAAGCTGTGATGCTTTATCTGTCCTTGTGTTTGAGGAGGCTTAAATTTACCTTTACTTGTGTCAGTGACACTATGCTACTGATTTTGTGCATATGTGTCCTTTTAGTTCATCTGTGGAGTGTACATCTTTGCATTCCCTCTGCAAGCTTGGGGAGACTATTACTACTGACTCCTCTTAATGTTCTGTGTATAGGATGCTGAGCATATAGGTTGCTGAAGTTGTGCTTACAGAAATCAAGCACAACCTGTGCCATGTGGGAAACTGCTATTGACTGTGTGATATTGTAAATTAATTTCTTCTTCATTTTGTTTTAGCGACGGGTTATCGTTCTTAGTACAGAAATGGAAAAAGGCATAAAAAAGTGGAATGACAAACAGCAAGCTCTTAAAGACGAACAGAAACTTAAAGAGAAAATGCAGCTGAAACATAAGGCAATTCACAAAAAGAATGTTGAGCCCTAGTAGGCTACACTTAATTATCTGTTTAATTCACTGTAATCCAGACAATTGTGATCCAGGCTTTGGACTGTGTATGTTGGCTGAACAGAATTTTTATTCCTACTGTATGACAAGGTTTTTAAACCTACCAGAAGTGCTACGACCATTCCCTGTAAGAACATGTTTTGGGAGATTAAAGTTGAATTTATTTACAAAATATTATATTACATTTCTTTTCGTTATAGTTATCTTGAATTAATTGAGGGTAAATATGTATTGACTTCTTTGTTCTAAATCTGTTACTTTCTATAAAAAAAAATAAAACCTCTTTTGTTGTCTGTGCAGTGGTGGCAAAATTAGGGTTAAAATAAAAAAAGAATTTACTTGGTGGATCTTGGAATATGGAGATCCACACATATTTCATAGTTTATTTATATTTCATAGTTTTAAGGTCAGGAACACAAACCACCATCTAGCCACCCTAAATATAGCAAAATCTTGCTTTTATCTGCTGCTAGCTCTGCCCCTGATCCGCCTGCTTGGCTGATATCATCAGAAGTGGTGTTCTGAGCCAGCCACAATGCTTTGCCATAGGAAAGCATTGGATTGGCTGAGAGTGTCAAGAGGGCAGATCAGGCTGCACAAGCCAAATACAGCCTTGGTTAAATAAATGCGTCTCTATGAGAAAAGTTCAGTGTTTTTCCATGCAGAGGGGGTTGCACTGTGCAGCACTGCCCCAATAAGCATCTCTAGCAGCCATCTAAGGAGTGGCCAGTGGAGGTATCCCTAGAATATAATGTAAACACTGCATTTTCTCTGGGGGGAAAAAACAGTGTTTACTGCAAAAAGCCTGAAGGGAATGATTATGCTATATTATAGTTGTTCTGGTGACTCTAGTGTCCATTTAATACTACACTGTTCACCTGGAACACATACTAGATGGGAACATACCACATTGAAAACCACAGTGGATTAAAGAGACACTCGGGGCAACAATACAACTTTAATCCATTTGATTTGCATAAGTGAAATTTAAATTCAGTTGAACTCAGAGAGCAACCATGTACCATAGTACTATGTGAGTGTCGTACCTTTTTATTGTACTTACATTAATACCAATCCATCCTTCCTGCCACCCCTTTTGTGTGCAGCACAGTTACCAAGTTGAGAGAGGGCAGCTATCCGTGTACACCCTTTGTGCTGGATCTAATTTTTCAAACAATTGCAAGAAGTAGCAGCCACGTGCTAAACAAATAAAAATATTTTAAAAAATCTTGTCATCATAGACGTTGAATTTGTTGGGGTAGAGTTCAGCCATTTTGACCTCAATTTTTAATTCATGACAATTCACTTTTTAGGGAATATCTTAGAATACTTTTTAGCTGGATAACTTTAAAGGATTACTCCAAGAATCCAGTATAACCAGTACATCTCAGCATTGTTTCCCGGTAGTTGGGCAAATCATTCTGCAAGAGTTTGCCCTCTTACTTGGCTCCTGCTGGGCCACTGGCCTCCTGCAGGCAGCCAACACCCAGATTCCTTTAATTCTTCTTGAGGTCTGTGGATCTGATGGTCTGGTTGCTGAGTGCAGGTGTATGATCTCAGTATTCTGCTAGAACCCCACATTGAGTATAATTAGGGGCACATACCCCACTTGTAATTGTCTCCCCAAGTCCATAATTGGGACAATTTTATTTTTGTCAATCTTTGTTTTATTGAGGTATGAAACAAGGAATACATACAGAAAAATATGCTAGACACCATGCATAAGCATAGCTTATCGTATCAATTTCATTAGATAATACCACATTTGTTTTTTGTTCAGAAACAAGCATATACAGGTTAGACGAACATGTCTGAATGTTGTATCAATGATACCCTTGGAAATGGCAAAACTATTGAGACATATTGAGCTTAACTAAAGTATAAGGCATAGTACCAGCTAGGGTTTAAGATAAAGGAATAAACCGCTGGTGAGATGTCAACGCTACACAACATACTGGATTATCATGATATAGTGGAGTAATGGTTACGTAGCTTGTTAAGGGTACCGCTGGGATCTGGAGAGATGTTATTTAAGACTGCATACAACAAAAGAGTGACACATTAACATAAAATATAAAATAACAAGAGCTAATTAACAGAAGAAGTTCCAGACAGCAACTCTTATAATGCAGCACATGAACTTCAAGCTCTCGAACCAGCCAGTCAGCTGATGCCTATACTTGGCAGAATAACCGCAAGAGCATGTAGGCTACAGAGGTTATCAAAAGCGGTGCAGGCAGCACAGTTTCAACTCTAGCACAAGGCTGACAAGGCATTAGCATTGGGTGGCACTTTCAGGGGGGAGGCACATAAAGCCGCCCCCCTAAACGACCTGGCAGATGCCTGGTCAGCCTCCTGTCCTGGGGGCCCAAGAAGTTGCAGGCTGGCCACCTTTGGGCATCTCTTCTCTTTATGCGCTGGCGGTGAAGGAGTGCTCTCTCCTGAGCTCTTCTTGCTCAGGTGCCTCGTGCGCACCGCAGTAATGCCGGAGCCGGAATATGATGTCACTCTGGCCACGGCATCACTAAGAGGCGCACGTGGGAGCTGAGCAGGGAAATCAGAGCTCCCTCGCCTCCCGCTTGTGCCTGCCTGCCTGCCTGCCAGCCCCACTGGACCCCTGGGAAGAATCAACTCCAGCACTCCCAAGGTAGGGAGACTGAATTGATGGGACATTCATTTTTTTTATTATAAGTGTGTGTCTGCTAGTGAGAGTGTTAGTGTATCTGTCACTGAGAGTGTATATGTTTGTCAGTGAGAGTGTATGTGTGTCTGTCACTGAGAGTGTGTGCTTGACAGTGTGCGTATGTCTGTTAGTTAATGTGTATGTCTGTCAGCTAGTGCATGTGTCTGTCAGTAAATATGTGTGTCTGACACTGAGTGTATATATGTTTGTCAGTGTGTATCTCTCAGTGAGTATACACCCTGTTCCAAATTATTATGCTAATTCTATTTAAGTGTCACAATGATTAAATATTTAGTTTTTCAGTTTAACTCACGGATGGCATTGTTTCTCAGGGCTCTTTTGATCACTGAAAACAATCTCGGACACCTGTGATAATTAGATTGCCAGGTGAGCCCAATTTAAGGAAAAACTACTAAAGGAGGGTGTTCCACATTATTAAGCAGAGCAGCATTTTCATGCAATATGGGGAAGAAAAAGGAAATTACCAGATTTTACTAATTTCATGACGTAAAGTCATGATTTTATAAATGACACGGAGGCTCCTATTATGCTTATTCTCTTTCTTTATTCCTCAGCAGCAAAAGAGAGAGATACTGTAAATATTCAACAAAATTTAAATAACATAATTTACCCCAAAGGGTTAACCATATATAACCTATTAACCAATGAGAGTGATCCCAGCATAATAGAGTCCCATGTGACCTTAAGCCACTCCTCTTTCTTTTGATGTTGTCGATGAACACTTCCTCAAACAGAAAAGATGTAACCAATAGATGTGCAGAACCGTGAGTCACAGGGAAATTCAGGCAACGGAGCTCCGAATAAAACTGGCAGTCTTCTGATTGAAACTTTCATGGGCAGGCATGGACCAGAATGGCAACCCAATTAGGAGGCTGTAAGACAAGAAATGAAATGGTAAAATATGTTCTTGGATATTGTTTCCATATCATATTACGACCTTAGCTACAAATCTGTCAGTTCAGTACTAGTCATCAGGTGAAAAACAAAATCACATTATTACATGACTCGTGCCCATTATATGACAGGCTATTAACAGGGAGGGCGCCACTTTCCTGGATTGGGCGGGATAATACTCGCCCCCGTGTTCTTTATAAAATCATGACTTTACGTCATGAAATTAGTAAAATCTGGTAATTTTATTAAAGGACACAGAGACTCCTATTATGCTAGTTAAAAGCTGCGTGATCACTGAAGTGGAAAAATGAGAAACTGGTCTGAAATAAAATTCCCAGAATGTAGATTCGCTGAACCAATCAGCTGCACGTAGGAGGTCTTCCTTTCTACAACCGAGAAAAGAGGTTTTTGATGCCATAGCACCCCTCACTGAGTGCGCTCCGTACGTGGAGGTATCAATGCCAGCCGACTCCATGATCCATTTAACCCAGCGAGATATGGTAACTGTAGAAACCAGATGGTGAGGTTGTCTGAGTGCCAGAAACAGATCTGGATACTGGGAATCACGAATTGAGGCGGTCCTTATTTCATATTCCTTGAGGCAAAGTACTGGACATAGATTAACATTATGTGGAAAAGCTGGGTAGAAGACTGATGTAATGGATGTCTTTGTACGCCTCGATATGTCGAAGGAGACGCCTTCTGGTGTAAATGAGCGTGCTGTGAGGTCCAGTGCTCGGACATCCGAGACACGTTTACAGGAGATTAGACATACAGCGTAACCAATTTAGCCGTGAGCTGTTTGATCGAAAGGTCCTTATTCTTTGGCCAATTTTCAAAAAGTCGGAGAACTAGGCCAACATCCCATACGGCTGCATATTTAGGTCTTGGTGGGCATGCAAACTTGATGCCACGTAGAAGTCGACATACCACTGTGTGCTATCTTGCCTGGAGTCCATTCCAGCCTTGATGGCCTGCCGAAATAGCTGATCTATATAGGTTGATTGTACGATATGCCAGCCCATGGTCGAAGAGTGAATTAAGGAAACTTAGAACCTGACTCACATTTGCAGATATGGGATCCATGTGTTGTTCCATGCTCCAACTATTCCATGCGTTCCAGGCATGTAGGTATGACCTCCTCGTTCCTGGGGCCCGAGCCCCTTCCAGGAGTTACAGAGTTGCTTGTGGAACATTTGGGATGTAGCAGGGCCCCCTGAGAGGAGCCATGCCAAGAACTTGAGATGTCCCAAAAGTAGAAGGGGATGTAAATTCCCGTTGGAATCCAGTACGAGGTTGGATGTCACTGACAGTAATCTCGGGAGGTCTATGGACATTTCCATGAGCATAGGGAACCAGGGCTGAGACATCCAAAAGTGGGCTATGAGGATCAAGAAGGTTCGGTGACGTCTGAGATGCAGTAGAGTTCGTGCAATGAGGGAGAAAGGAGGGAAGGCGTAGTGGCGGGTATTCGGCCACGGTTGGAGGAAAGCATCTGTCGCTAGAGCTTCCAGATCCGGTCTCCAGCTGAAAAACTTCTGCAAATGAGTGTTCAAGCGTGATGCAAACAGATCGATGTCCAAGGGGCCCCAGAGTGATTGTAAATGGCTGAAGATGACAGGGTTCAGTCGCCAGTCGCTGGCATCTCGTAAGTGTCTGGAATTCCAATCCGCCACTATGTTGGACATCCCCGGAATGTACTCTGCTTGTACCGAGATGTTGCGGTCCAGACAGAGTTGCCAGAAATCTTTCGCCAGTTCCGCTAGTATTGTTGACTTCGTGCCCCCGAGGTGGTTGATATAGCGGACCGCTGATACATTGTCCATGCGTAACAGAATGGAACAATTGATCGATATACTTAAAAGACTCCGTAGGGCAAATGATCCTGCTAGCAGTTCAAGGCAGTTGATGTGTAGTCCCTGTTCCTTTAGGGACCATTTTCCTCCGGTCGAGGTAGCTCCACAGCGCGCACCCCAGCCGAGCATACTTGCATCGGATTCTACTATGATGTCTGGAGTGGTTCCGAAGATCGCTCGGCCGTTCCATGCTTCCATGTGTTGTAGCCACCACTTGAGTTCCTCTTTGGCGGTGCAGTCGAGAGGAACAGAGTCTGAGTATGAGTGCCCCAAGCGAAGGTATTTGGCTTTCAGTCACTGGAGTGTTCTGTAATGCAGAGGGCCGGGGAATATGGCTTGGATTGACACTGAGAGAAGGCCGACAATCCTGACCAGCTGTCTTAAGGTAAGAACAGGACGTGCTAACGTCCGCCTGATTTCCTTTTTGATGGATTTGACTTTGGCTGTTGGGAGTAGGAGTGCTCCATTCACAGCATCTACGGTGAATCCCAGGAATTCTATTGATTGAGAGGGTTTGGTAACCGGCTTCTCCCAGTTGATTAGAAAACCCAGGTTTTCTAGTAGAGTCCTTGTCCAGGAAAAATGTTCGTGGAGCAGATGAGGGTTCTGCACTATTATGAGGATATCGTCCAAGTATATTATGAGTCAAACTCCTTTGCTGCGTAGGAGGGTGACCACTGGTTTCAGGAGCTTTGTGAAGCACCATGGTGCCGATGATAGGCCGAACGGTATGATTTGAATCGCCATAAGGTCTCTTTCCATTGGAACTGTAGGAAGTTTTGGCATTCGTCGGCCATCGGGACCGTGATGTACGCGTCCTTCAAGTCGAGTTTGACCATCCAGTCCCCTGTAAGTAGGAGATCTCTGAGAGAGTGTATACCTTCCATCTTGAAGTAATGGTATGTGACAAACATGTTTAGGGGTCGTAGGTTGATGACTGGACAGGTGCCTCATCAACGGGGACCAGGAAGAGGTTGCTTAAGAAACCTGGTGTGAGAGGGTGAACTTCTGAAATTGCACCCTTGGAGGCTAAGGCCTGGACTTCTTGAGATATCTGGTATTGGTCGTGGGTGGGGAACACCATGCGGTTTGAACAGGGTATTGTACAAAATCTATATACACTTGAACAGTGTGAAGGATCCATGCATCTGCAGTGAGCATGTGCCATGCGCTGATAAAGTGACACAGTCTGCCCCCCACCATAGCCAAGGCATTGGACTTACCATAAGGTCGTCGGCCATAGGAAGAACCTCTGGGTCCTCGAGACTACCATGGTCTGCCCCGGACTGAGAAGAACGGTGTGGTAGTTCTGGGCTCAGGTGTTGTAAGCCTGGACTGTATGGGGCCTCGATAGCCCCGGTATGAACCCTGGGGTGATCGGCCGGGCAGACGACCACGATATATCTGCCGGCCCCGCCAAAAACTCTCTGGTGGAACACTCGTTTCATGCTGGCTTGAGCTTTATCAAGTGCTGTAAAGGTGCCTACATATGTGCCTAGCTCCTTAACAAAACTATGTCCAAACAGGAGGGCTTTTGCCTGGGTCCAGGCTCTGAAATAGCTAGGTTCACTAGCTTGGGCTCTATTTTTATCAGGATTGCTTTTTTTGGCTTTCCAACCCTACTTCCCCAAGAATTGGGCAATCTTTGGGTCTGTGTCAAGGGTGGCGCAAGCCATATCGGGAATAGTGGGCCGTGGGCATTCTGCCCAGAGTTTGCTTTGTGCCACCTTGTCAAGTGGTTTTCTAATACGAGCAGCGATATATTTCGGTATGTGTTCTAGGGGATACCACTCCAAGGATCTCGGGTGTTGTAAGGTGTCGGGGTCAAACAGTGGTTTGCCCTGCGGGTCAACCAGGGCGGATTCGTCAACTCCATCTTTGGGGTCTGTTCCAGCATCTGTCAAGGAACTGTGTTCTGGAAAATAAGTGCTGGGATCATCAGAGTCCTCCTTATCGGGCTTGCTCTGTGCCTCCTCTTGCTCCGACTCAGATTCGGAGGATTCAATGAGGGCTCTAGCCCTTTTCCAGTTCCTCACCGATTTTTCCCGGTGGGGGGCTCTTAGTTGTGGTGCAACCACATGATCTGTGACAGGACGTACCCTGTCCGTCTGTAATGTTTTGGAGGCATTGTTGTGGCTGGACTTTTTTACGGCTTTACGCCCACTATGGGCCACCGGTTTATTCTCAGGGGGGTTAGTAGTGGAAGTTGGTGGCAGCTGAGTGGATTTCAGTGCCATGGTAATTGAATGTGAGATGTTGTCTGACATGGCCCCCATAGCGTTAAATATGGCCTGTGTCACGGATTTCGTCATAGCAACGTCCAGGAGGGAATGTAACTCCTCAGAGTCCGTTTGCTCCTGTGACACTTCAATGGCTGCGGGAGTTTTGGACTCAAGAAGGGGGTCAGGGGTTATGGTGGCATTGGTGGCAGAGCCAGAAATATCAGACATTTTATTTGATTGCATGGTCAGAAAAAATATGGCTAAATGACAGGCAGAACATTTTTATGTTCAAATAGGGCACTATTAGCTGTAGTAGGGAGCTGTACCGTATAGCAGGCTGACTAGACAGTGCAAGAAACAGCTTGACAGACACCAATGTAATAAAACTAGACACAAAGAAATCAATAGAGCAAGCTCACCGAGTGTTCCCTCAGTAATATGGTCCTGGGGAGCACCGGTGACTTGCCTAGTAACAGTAGACTACCCCAAACCCAAAACAGTGAAAATTACACATACAATTTGTCAAACTATGACAGGAGAAGAAAATTGTACTTAGCTGAGGAGGCAGGAGCAAAAGAAAGAGGAGTGGCTTAAGGTCACATGGGACTCTACTATGCTGGGAACACTCTCATTGGTTAATAGGTTATATATGGTTAACCCTTTGGGGTAAATTATGTTATTATTTACATTTTGTTGAATATTTACAGTATCTCTCTCTTTTGCTGCTGAGGAATAAAGAAAGAGAATAAGCATAATAGAAGCCTCCGTGTCCTTTCATAAAATCTCTGCTGCCAAAAAGAGTGAAATAGTTCAGTGCCTTGGAGGTATGAAAACATTAGATATCTCATGAAAACCTAAGCGTGATCATCACACTATTAAGAGATTTGAGGCTGATTCAGAGCGCATAAAGGCACATTGAGGAAGATTTCTGCCAGATCCATGCATCAGATCAAGAGAGCAGCTGCTAAAATACCATTACGTAGCAGCAAGCAGATATTTGAAGCTGCTGGTGCCTCTGGAGTCCCACGGACATCAAGGTGTAGAGTCCTCCAGAGTCTTGCAACTGTGCATAAACCTTCTATTCGGCCACCACTAACCAATGCTCACAACCAGAAACTGCTGCATTGGGCAGAAAAATACATGAAGACAAATTTTCAGACAGTCCTGTTCACTGAGTGCCGTGCAACCCTGGATGGTCCAGATTGATGGAGTAGTGGACGGCTGGTGGACGGCTACCCTCTTCCAACTAGGCTGCGACGTCAGCAAGGCGGTGGTGGAGTCATGTTTTGGGCAGAATCATCGGAAGAGAGATGGTCGGCCCCTTTAGGGTCCCCGAAGGTGTAAAGATGACCTTTGCCTGAGTTTTGTCATGCCTAAGCAGGGGCGTATTAGCCGCAAGGCAAACAAGGCATTTGCCTTGGGCGGCATTTTTCAGGGGGCGGCAAAAAACGCCGCCCCCAAATGCCCAGGGCAAATGTCTTGTTAGCCTCGCGGCTAACAGACATTCTGGGCGCTGGGCGGCAGTGGCTGCAGCGCTGGGCGGGCGGGCGGCCGGCGAGGGAGCTCTTCCCCTGAGCGCTCTGCTCTGCTCAGCTCCCTCGCGCGCCGCCAGCAGAGTGAGGCTGGGAGCCGGAATATGACGTCATCAACCCGGCTCCCAGCCTCACTCTGCTGGTGGCACGCGAGGGAGCTGAACAGAGCGCTCAGGGGAAGAGCTCCCTCGCCGGCCGCCCGCCCGCCCGCCCAGCGCTGCAGCCACTGGACCCCAGGGAGAGGAAGAACCCCCCCCAGCATTACCAAAGGTAAGGAGGCTGGGGGGGGGTTAAATAAAAAAACCAAAAAAAAACCCACTAGTGTGTGTATGTATGTTAGTGTGTGTGTGTGTGTGTGTGGATGTCTGTTAGTGTGTGTGTGTATGTATGTTAGTGTTTATGTTAGTGTTAGTGTGTGTATGTTAGTGTGTGTGTGTGGATGTCTGTTAGTGTGTCTGTTAGTGTGTGTATGTTAGTGTCTGTTAGTGTGTATGTTAGTGTTAGTGTGTGTGTATATGTTAGTGTTAGTGTGTGTATATGTTAGTGTGTGTGTGTGGATGTCTGTTAGTGTGTGTATGTTAGTGTGTCTGTTAGTGTGTGTATGTTAGTGTTTGTGTCTGTTAGTGTGTATGTTAGTGTTAGTGTGTGTGTCTGTTAGTGTTAGTGTGTATGTTAATGTTAGTGTATGTATGTTAGTGTTAGTGTGTGTGTCTGTTAGTGTTAGTGTGTGTGTCTCTTAGTGTTAGTGTGTATGTTAATGTTAGTGTATGTATGTTAGTGTTAGTGTGTGTGTGTCTGTTAGTGTTAGTGTGTATGTTAATGTTAATGTATGTATGTTAGTGTTTGTGTGTGTGTGTGTCTGTTAGTGTTAGTGTGTGTGTATGTTAGTGTTAGTGTGTATGTTAATGTTAGTGTATGTATGTTAGTGTGTGTGTTTGCCTGTGAGTGTGTGTGTCTGTTAGTGAGTGTGTGAGTGTGTGTCTGTTAGTGTTAGTGTGTATGTTAATGTTAGTGTATGTATGTTAGTGTTAGTGTGTGTGTGTCTGTTAGTGTGGATGTCTGTTAGTGTGGATGTCTGTTAGTGTGGATGTCTGTTAGTGTGTGTGTTTGCCTGTGAGTGTGTGTGTGTGTTTGCCTGTGAGTGTGTGTGTCTGTTAGTGAGTGTGTGTCTGTTAGTGACTGTGTGTTTCTGTTAGTGACTGTGTGTTTCTGTTAGCTAGTGAATGCGTATCTGTCAGTGAATGTGTGTGTGTGTATTTAGAAGGCGGAGCAGGGGGGAAGGTTGGGTGGCGGTTGCGCGGGTGGGGGTGGCGCGGGGGGGTGCCTGAGTTTTGTCCTGCCTAGGGCAGCACAAAACCAGGATACACCACTGTGCCTAAGGCAGCATAAAACCAGAATACACCACTGGGTGCAGGCGGGATGGGGGCCTCCTTTAGCACCAGGTCTGTATGGAGGGCGGCATCCGTGTACCACTGACTCGAATACTCTGCGAGTGCGAGGAATGCCCATGTCGAGCGCAGCAGAAGGCCCAGATGTTCTGCCACCGCCTGCAACAGGTGGTCTTCCAGCAGGGTGGTCAATCCATTGGAGGAAGTCTCTTCAAGACCCTTAGCTCAGATAGGCAGTCAGCACGGGTAGAGGCTTTGCCTGAAAGAGGCTGTCTCCCCTCTCTGACTGTCATCACTTTTCTCTCTGTCTGGGTTGGTGCTGGCATGGTGGATAGGCCTCTTGTGCCGAGTTGCTTGTGCCCAGATCGGCAGTACATGCAGCTTCCTCAGTAGGAAGTAGGGTCCAAAGTGGGGGGAGAAGGGACCAGGAAGGTGTCAGGTAAATTGCTGTTGCGCAGCAGCTTGATCAGTTAGTGAAGCAGCGGCCATCTACTCCACTCCCAGGTCCAGGTAGATCGCAGTCTCAAAGTGCTTGAGTCACTCTCCGGCACCTATAGTCACCCAATATCAGGTGCTCCAGCTACACCGGGAAACAGCAAGAACTCGTGTGGTACTTTTTCAACAGTATGCCAGCATATAAATGTGCACAAAAAAGGATAATTCAGCAAATGCAATCAGACAAGACAATAAATTAAAACGGGCAGCAGAGACTCATAAATGATATACAAGTTGAGGGTCTGGTAGCTGTAGATCTGACACTATGGATCAATGAACAGGGAATGGCCATATAGAAAATAGTGTTATTAATATTATTGGCATTTGTAAAGCCCCCATATATTCTGCAGCTCTTTACAATATTATAAAGGGGTAAGTTTTACAATAAATGAGATAATTATAGATTATTACAGGAACAATAGGTTGATGAGGATCCTGCTCACACAAGCTTACAATCTAGAGCTGACGGGGTATAAAAACACAATAGGAAGGCCATCGAAGGGGACAGCACCTAAGCAACAAGGTGGGAAAGTAGCAGAACTGGAAGGTGACAATGCAGTTTGACTCCTTAAGAGAGAGCAAGGGACAGGTTTGTCTGGGGGACCATAAGCTTTTCTGAAGAGATGGGTTTTAAGGGACTGTTTAAATGATTGAAGACTAGAGGAGAGTCTGATTGAGGTAGGCAGGTTGTCCCAAAGGAAAGGAGTCACCCACAAGAAGTCCTGCAAGCGCTAGTTAGCAGTGGACAGGAGAACGTCACTGTCAGAGTGGAGAGACCAAGAAGGGGCGTACCTACAAATTAGTGAAGAAAAGTAACAGGGGCTAGAGTAATTTACAGCTTTATAGGTACCAGAAGCCAATGCAGGGATTGTGAGAGGGGCAAGGTACCATGAGAGGATAGTGTCACAGGCCAAGGGATTAAAGAGTTTGAAGAAGGCGGACATGATCGACAGTGTCAAAGGCAGCAGAGTGGTCAAGAAGAATTAGTATGGAGTAGTGGCCTTTGGATTTAGCTGCTATTAGATTGTTAGTTACTTTGATCAGAGCGGTCTCACTAGAGTGGAAGGGACAGAAGCCAAGTTGAAAAGGGTCGAGGAGAGAGTTGGAGCAAGATGGTTAAAGACAAGTCATTCCAGAAGTTTTGAGGAGAAAGGGAGCAGGATTATGGCATGATAGCTGGAAAGCAGGGCCGCACTTGGAAAAAAATTCGGCCCGGGCATTTTTTTATCACAGTGGCCCACTAAGAAGGGGGCGGGGCAGAGAGGGTGTGTTTTGTCATCACTCATGACAAACACGCCCCCTCTCAAAGTGAGCATGTTGGTTCAATGCTCTTCCAAGGCAGACCATCCGCAGAGCTCTGCTGAAGAGCTCTATCATGAGAAAAAAAGCACTGTATTTGTTCTGCACAGTGAAAGCAAATGTAATAACATGCTTGCACTGTGTTTCCTTGCAACTTGTCTCTGGTGTCTCTATAAATGGATACCAGGAGACAAAAGGGCCAGGAAAGTGTATTGTGCATGTGTTTGGAGCCTGCTTGTGGGATTGCGTGTGTGTAGAGTGAGCTGATTGTGGTGTGGTATTGTGTAATAAGGTCGGTTTTAGTCATGTTGTGTTTTTGGTGTAATTTAATGCATATGTGGCTAGGGGCTGTAGAGACTAGTGTGTGTTTGAAGGACCCAGAATCTGTATAGGAGATCTAGCGAGTGTGCGTATATAACGGATTCAGAGTGTATATAGGGATCTAGTGTGTGTATGTGTGTAGATGATCCAGAGTTGAGTAAAGGATCTAGTGTGTGTCTGGAATGTAATGTGTTTAGGGGTGCAGTGTGTGTGTGAGGGGTGCTGTGTGTGTGTATATATATATATATATATATATATTATATAAATATGTTTGGAAGTATTGTGTATGTGTGTGATGCAGTGTATCGGGGGGTTGTGTGTGAATGTGAGGGGTGTAGTGTGTATGTGAGGGGTGCAGTATGTGTGTGTGATGGATGCTGTGTGTGAGGTGTGATGTGTGTGAGGGTGGTGTGTGTGTGAGGGTGGTGTGGGTGTGATGGTGCTGTATGTGATTGATTTGTGTGAGGGTGCTGTGTGTGTGATGTGTGTGAGAGTGTTGAGTGTGATAGTGCTGTGTATGATGTGTGTGAGAGTGCTAAGTGTGATGTGTGTTAGATTTATGTGTGAGAGTGCTGAGTGCTGTGTGTGAGAGTGTTGTGTGTGATGTGTGTGATGTGTGTGATGTGTGAGAGTGCCGAGTGCTGTGTGTGAGAGTGCTGAGTGCTGTGTGTGAGAGTTCTGTGTATGATGTGTGTGAGAATGCTGCGTGTGATGTGTGTGTGAGAGTGCTGTGTGTGATCTCTGTATGATGTGTGTGAGAGTGCTGAGTGTGAGAATGCTGAGTGTGAGAGTGCTGTGTATGATGTGTGTGTGAGAGTGCTGTGTGTGAGAGTGCTGTGTATGAATGTTGTGTGTTGGGGGGTAAATAAACAACTAAAAAAACTAAGGGGGGGGGGTTAGTAAACAAATAAAAAACTAAGTAGGCATTAAATCCCCGCCTCCCTTCTTACCTGTAGCCTGGGAGGGGGGGACAGGCACGGTGCTATCTGGGAGGGGGGGGGGCGGCACTCTTACTCGATCCCTGGTGGTCCAGTGGTGAGTGCCATGGCAACGCTCCGGATCTAGCGAGAGGAACCCGGCGGAGCTGCAAGATAGAGCTCCGCCGGGTCCTCTCCCTCCCTCCCCAGCCGCAGGTCTATTTAAATGGGCCGGTGAGGGAGATCTTTAATCTCCCCACTGGCCCTCCATGGAATACAGCGGGGCCGGCACTCGGATAGTGCCGGCCCTGCATAGACCGGCAGGGGATGTCCTGTGACATTTGCCCGGTGTGCCCGATGGCCAGTCCGGGGCTGCTGGAATGGGAAGACGGGTCAAGTGATAGCTTTTTAATGACAGTAGCATGTTTAAGGGGACAGGGGTTAATACCAGAAGAAAGAGAGCAGTTAAAAATATGCATTAAGGTTGGCACAAGATAGGGGAGAGAGATCTGATAAGGTGAGATGAGTCAAGATCAAGTGGACAAGTGGTAGGGTGAGAGGAAAGTAGTGCAGCCACCTCCTGTTCAGTAGTCAGGGAGAAAGCCTGTGGTTGAGTGAGAGGGCAGTGAATAGTGGATAATTCTTTCCTTAACTAGTTACTCTTGTCAGTAAAATAGTAGGCAAGGCTATGAGGAAATGTAATTGGGCAAGGCTTTGCCACAGTAAGTGATGCTTATTTTATGTGCTTATGCTAGCCACATATAAATCCCACCTTTCTTATGCTGGATGTGCACCTAACACATCATGCATCATGAGATATACACAGAGTGCTTCAGTACTTATAAAGATCATGTAGTAGATTGTATGTGCCAGTTCAAGTCACCATGCCTTGACCCTTTGTGATAGCTTCACTAGGTGGCAGCAGACTAGGTAAGATAGGCAGCATGCAATACGGGTATGATCGTGTTATAAGATTTTATTTGTATAACTTTGTCTTTTATATATAACATACTATGTCTTTACTCACTTTCACTTTCTTTACCTTTGTATGTTCGTCTGTTTTTGGAATTGAAAATGATTGACTTGTTGTTTTGATAGTAAATATAAATCTATTGAGGCTTTATATCTGTGGACCTGTCCTCTTTTTCAATACACATTTTCTCTGCTATTGCTATCTTGAACATAGGCGTGCGCACGGGGTGTGCCGGGTGTGCCTGGGCACACCCTAATCCCCGTGGCACGCCTATGGTTTGAGTCCTGCAGGAACAGCGTTCCTGCACTTTTTTTTTAGCAGGAACGCTGTTCCTGCAAGCACTCAGTGCCCCCTGTCTCACCTCTTGCCCCTGTCATGTGTGTGTGTCTGTGAGTGTGTGTGTCTGTGAGTGTATGTGTGTGTGTCTGTGTGTGAGTGTGTGTCTGTGAATGAGTGTGTGTCTGTGTGTGAGTGTGTGTCTGTGAATGTGTGTGTGTCTGTGTGTGAGTGTGTGTCTGTGAATGTGTGTGTGTCTGTGAGTGTCTGTGTGTGTGTCTGTGAGTGTATGTGTGTGTGTCTGTGAGTGTGTGTTTCTGTGAGTGTATGTGTGTGAATGTGTGTGTGTCTGTGAGTGTGTGTGTGTCTGAATGTGTCTGTGAGTGTGTGTGTGTGTGTGTGTGTCTGTGAGTGTATGTGTGTGAGTGTGTGTCTGTGAGTGTGTGTCTATGAGTGTGTGTGTGTGTCTGAATGTGTCTTTGAGTGTGTGTGTGTGTGTGTGTGTGTGTACACCGTATATATATATATATATATATATATATATATATATACACACACACATATATATGGTGGAGCTCTAGACAGAAGCTCCACCAGGTTCCTCTCGCGATATCTGAGCGTTGCTGCGGCAACTCTCAGATCTCGCGAGAGTTAACTCTAGCCCCGCAGGCTAGAGTTCACTCTCCACTGGACCACCAGAGATGGCACATGGCAGCAAGGATTTACTAATCTGCCCCCACCTCCACAATCCCTCCAAACATACAGCACACACACATACAGCACATACACACATACAGCTCACACACCCACAGTACACTAACCGCACCCTCACAAACACACACAGCACCTTTAAAAAAAACACAACACCCTCACACACAGCACACTAACAGCACCCTCACAAACACACACACACAAACAGCACCCTCACAAATACACGACACTCACACAAACAGCACCCTCACAGGACAAAAACACACACACAAACACCCTCACACACAAACAGCACAGTCACAAACACACACACACAAACACCCTTACATCACACTAACAGCACCCTCACACACACATCACACTAACAGCACACAGCACCCTCACACAGCACACTAACAGCACACATAGCATTGTGTGTGTGTGTGTGTATATATATACAGCGTGTGTTTGTGCTTTAGGGTGCACACCCTAATGCAATAGGCTGCGCACGCCTATGATCTTGAACATAACATGTTGTGTGAGTAGTTTTCCTCTGTTTTGGTAATTTACTTTTTTCCCCATTCTGAACTCATTCACCAGATTAAAACCATACAGAAAACACGATGACCAAAATTTAGTAAAATTTCTTTCAGTAAGTCACAGCTGCTATTAAACCTTAAACTTCCCATTTACTGTGGTTTGAGACTCATTATGGAACATCTGAAGTGGGGCATGTCCACGTGAAATACAGCTGTAAAGGTTCCTTAACCACAGGACCATCGGAGGCCTTGGTGCATCATTTTAAATATTGGATAGCAAAATTTTAATTTCTGTAGTACAAGGAACAGCTATGTTGAATCATAGCAAATTCACAGAATGAGAGCAATTCAGTTGAAACTTTTGTAGCTTTAGTAGTTGGGAGCCAATGTCATGTATATTTCTCTAGGCATTCAGCTACATTGCCTAATCTAAGATCTGTGCTGCCCTGAGTCACATTCACATTGAAAGCTGACATATTCAATACTATAGAGGACATAGTTAGGGAAGCTTGACTATATATGGATAATGTTCTCTGCCTCAAATTAGAGTAACGTCTATATCACGGGTGGCCAAAGTCTAGACTAGTGGTTTCCTACCAAGTTATTATTATTATTATTAATATTATTATTATTTATATAGCGCCAACAAATTCTGCAGTGCTGTACAATAATTTATAAGGGGCAAAAGGAAAGGAAATCTGAAAGAAAACACAAACCAATGCCACTTATAATAGGCATATACAGCGCGCAAAGCATTTCAGCTTTCTGAAGTACTTTAGGTGTCTGGAGTCTGTCCTTTTCTTGACGGTCTGTTAATTAGATTGCCTGGGAAGTGTTCTATCTCTTCGTTAGTTCCACAGAACATATGGCAGGTGTGCTGTGCTAGCTTGTGAATGACATTCCCCCTTCTTAATGGGCTGTCTAGTATAGTAAGGCTGTGATTCTGTGTGCTTGTGCTTATGGCTCCAACATAGAGGCTTCTCATTGAGAAGCTTGCTTGATGTATTCCCCGGCACAGATTGACTGTCAATGCTTGGGGGAAATGGGAGGCCTTCAGAGGCTGCAGACTGCAGGCTGTTTTTTTCCATATCCTCCTAAAGAAAACGTGCATAAAAAATACATCCATGCTTTATTTGGGGGTATATCTACTGAACTGTACAAAATTTAAATTCAATGGAGTGTTTCTTAAACTACATTATCTACTCTAAGATCTTTACTGCCCTGAATCATGTTCAACTTGAAAGCTTTTATATTTATTGCTTCAGAGGACATAATGAGACGGGAACCTTTGATTACATATGGAACATTTTCTGTTACTCAAATTAGGGGAACATCTACATCAAGGATGGCCGAAAGGCCAGACCAGTGACTTCCAACTGAATTATTAAATCACACTAACAGTCCAAGAATTGTCAGAACCACCAAAGGGACAAAACATTGAGATGTCGGGGGCGTGGCTAGGCTGCCGATGGAGTAGGACGCAGGCAGTGAGAGCTCCTGGGCCCCAACCTGCCAAAGCCCGTGATAATAGCACTAACATACCCGTCTGAATGGGTAAATCGAGGAGGGGGACTACCCCGGGCCCGCAACAACCCGCCATGTCTCAGCAGTCGGGGCCGATGGACGAATTCTTATCCACCCCACACTGTATGGCCGGCACACGAGGCCTCGACAAAATGGCGCCCGGCTCGCCGGGATCGAGCAGCAGGGCGAGCTCCACACAAGACTCCCCACGGAGGGATGCCCTCACTCAGATGTCCGTAGAACTGGCGGCTATTTCAGCAAACATGCTTACCAGGCAGGACAAGAAAGAACTAGTGGCTGAACTCCGCTTAGCTATCCGGGAGGAAGTAGCTGCTGTTCGGCAAGACCTCACCGCTCTGGAACACCGGGTAGATGAACTGGAGGTCCAACGGCTGCAGGCAGAACAACACCAACGGGCTACAGACCTAGCAACCTCGCGGCAGGGTAACCTCCTTCTGGAGCTCAGACGCCAGGTGGAGGACCTTGAGAACCGCGGACGGCGCAATAACATCCGCGTCAGAGGTCTGCCGGAATCTGAAGGAGAATCACCAAGAGAGATCCTAGAGGGCCTGTTCACGCAAATACTGGGGGAAGAAGCACCGCCGGATTTTGGATTAGAGCGTGCCCACCGTGCACTTCGACCACCAAGGAGAGATGGCCTCCCTAGGGACTTGGTATGCTGCTTCCAATCCTTTCAGCTGAAGGAAACTATTATGAGGGCGGCTAGAACGCTGCGCACCATCAACTACATGGACTCGCATGTTTCCCTGTATCACGACCTGTCTCCCCTCACCCTCGATGCCAGAAGAGCGCTGAAGCCACTCACAGGCCTCCTACAGCAGAAGCGGATCCACATATAAATGGGGATTCCCATTTAGCCTGCAGGCTAGAGTGGATAACCGCTGGCTTGCGGTCCGCTGGCCTAACGACGTGCCCAGATTCCTGCGAGCAGCGGGCCTTCCGGAGATTCCTGTCCCTAACTGGATCCTGGACAATCCACCGACCAGACCCACGGGCCCTACAGTTCCGGCCGAGAACCAGGTAGATGGTGTCCAGCAGAGCTCCTCGACACGCCGGGATGGGCCCAGCGCCGCGGAGGAGTAGGATGTCAGCATGCACCCGGAGGCGGGTCCCTGAAGGGGTTCTTGGCCCCGGGGCCCCCACGATCTTCACCATGGGAAAGGTGCAATCCTGCCCATAAGCAAGCACGAGACTACCGAGACAGTGAAACTGAGCAACCGGGGTTTGTACTGAGCTTATCCCCAGGCCCATGGATCCCCAATGTACCCTGTGAAACCCGTACCCCCGGGGAAACACTACTTGGGTGGGGGACGGGAAGTGCGGAGGCCGTCAAAATGGGGTTGTATAAGGGATTCAGCCAACACTACCTTGCATGGCCACTGAAGGAGCAGAGCAGGTTTGGGGGGGGGGGGGCCCGGTCTGACGGACCTGCTACAGGGTAGGGTCGGGGCCGAGGGGGGTACAGCTGTGTCCCCCATGACCAGTAATGACATACCCCCTGGCTGCCAGCAGCCTGTCTTGTCCTGAAGGGAGGGCTCGGTACACAGCGAGGGGAGGAAGAAGTTGGGAACAGGGGGTAGGAAAGCCCACGGAGGGATAAGAGGAAGGGCTGGCCGCACAGTGGGGGGCCCTAGACGCAGGAGGTGATTGACAGGCCTGCGTGTGACGGGGTTGGAACGCTGGGGGGGCCCGAGCCCAGGGGGTCGCGGTCTGTGGGGAGGTAAGATGGGACTCCTAAGGGGTTAAACATACGGGCTGAGGAATCACAGGGAAGCCAGAGGGGTGGTGGAGGGTTGGATGCACGCCCGTCACGCCCCTCCTGGCCCGAAGGCCATGGGCCTGCGCCCGGACCCCAGCTGGGATGAGAGCTGAAGAGGGGTTGGACGACCGTGCACCCTGGGGCGCGAGAGGGATTTCTTGCATATGCCCGATAGGGGCATAATAACTTGTTAAACTGTTCATCATTAGTTGCATGTTGTATTACTTAGGATAAGGAAGGGCTAGTCGACTCACACGTCCACAGGAGTAGTGGAGAAGGATATCCCGGCGGGGCAGGACGGGACTGGACGGAGAAGCTAGACGACCGGGGGGGTCGGTGGGGAGGCTCGGTCCCTACACTCTCCATAAAGCCCAAGGGGTAGAATGTTGACACCGGACAAGCAAGACCAGAAAGGGAACGCACACATATTAAGAGGGACTGGCCCGGGGGGAAGGGTGTCGCGGGCGCGACCTGGGTAGCCAGGCCCACCACACCTGGACTCGCCACGAGACGGGGACGACTTAACGCTATGACTGGCGGGTTGGGAGCGCCAGGAGACGGACACGGACTCGACACACACATTACGTTGACGGGCGCCGTAGGTGACCTTGCTCACACCCCACGCAACTGACCCGTGGTGTACATACTGGTCGGAGTTCGGTAGGACTGCTGACGAGCAGCTTCCGAACACCTCTATCCGACCGAGGTTCATTGTTGCTTTTCCCCCCTTTTTTTTTTTTCTCTATCTTTCTCCTCTCTCCTCCTCCTCTTCTTTCTCCCTCTCTCCCTTTTCTCCGTCCTACCCCTTTTTCCTTCCTCACCCACGTATAGAAATCTACACAATGCCTTCCCAGACAGGGCCTGGTGGGGGACGCCCACTCCGAGGGGACGGGGGGAGTCTCACCCCCGCACGACTCAAAGTGTGGTCTAATAACGTGAGAGGCCTAAACACCCCGGAGAAGCGGTCCCAACTATTGCGCCAGCTTTGGGCGGAAAAGGTGTCCGTGGCGCTCTTGCAGGAGACGCACTTTAGAGGTCAGGTCTCTCCGAAGATTGAGAATAGCCGCTTTCCACAGGGGTACTACGCCAATCACCCAGAGTCTAAGAAAACGGGAGTGGCGATTCTGTTCTCCCTTACAGTCCCGTTCCAACATATAGACACTATGACGGACCCTGAAGGGAGGTTCATCTTCTTGAAGGGCACCATTGCACACCACACCTACACCTTCGCAAGCATCTACAGCCCTAACCGTAGACAGCACATCTTCCTGACCAAAACACTGGCCAAACTAGAAACATTCAGGGCCGGCTTGCTGATATTAGCAGGTGACCTTAACGCTCCCCTGGAACCCCGGATGGACACCACCGGGGGGGCCAGCACTGTCCCGGAACACAGCCTACGCACAATGCGGCGTGCTCTGACTGGCATGGGGTTGGTTGACTGCTGGCGGGTAGCCCACCCTGACGATAAAGATTTCACCTACTATTCGTCGGTATACGGGCAATATAGTAGGATAGACTATGTATTCATGCCTCAGGAGAGCCTAGCGCTTCTCCGAGATGCATCCATAGGGATTATCAACCAGTCCGACCATGCCCCAAACACAGTGCTAATGAGCTCGCCATTATTTAAACCGGTCGAACGCCAATGGAAACTTAATGAAACCTTGTTAACAGAGCTCGAGATACGCACCAAGACATTACAGACGCTTACGCAATACTTTGATACCAACGACACACCCGACATGCCCCCACTGATGCTGTGGGAAGCCCATAAATGCGTTATTAGGGGTCACTTTATATCTATCAGCACACAACGTAAGAAAGACAGGGCTCGTCAAATATTAGATCTAACGGCACGGATTGCAGACCTAGAGAATACACATAAACATACCCTAGACGACACGTACCTACGACTTACAGAGACACGCAGGGCACTCAAAGCACACCTATCCCAGGGATTACTACACACGATGCGGAAATCAGCTCGGCACTTCTATGAGCACTCATATAAAAGCGGCCGACTCCTGGCACAAGTGCTCCGAGAGAAGCGTAGAGCCCAACATATTCACCAGATACGCACCGGACAGGGACAGACCACCAGGTTGCCTGAAGGCATTTTGTCAGCATTTAGGGACTATTACAGGGACCTTTACAACCAAGCTAGGCCCATACAGGGGACAGAAGCCCAAAACCACCGCAGGAGAGTCACAGACTATCTAACGCAACATGTGACTCGCAAACTCACCCCGGAGCTTGCGGAGGAAATTGATGCACCCCTGACTTTAGAGGAATTAGCCGCAGCCATGAAACGCTCCAAACCACACAGGGCCCCGGGCGCGGATGGCCTCCCCCTCACATATCTACGAACATTTCGAGACGCCCTACTACCCTGACTTCTAGCGGGCCTGAACTCATACAGGACGGGGGGCGGTTCCCCACGGACTCCCTGGCCGCGATAGTCACGGTCATCCCTAAAGACGGAAAAGATCCGTCAAATTGCTCGAGCTATAGACCAATCTCATTACTAAACGCTGACCTGAAGCTATTTACCAAAGCCCTCTCCCTGAGGGTGTCGCGGATCCTGCCGGATCTCATTCACCCAGACCAGGTGGGCTTTATTCCGGGTAGAGAGGCTAGGGATGACACGATACGAGCCCTGAACATCATACATTGCGCACGGACCTCGGGAAGAGACACAGACCTCCTCTCTACGGACGCCGAAAAGGCGTTTGACAGGGTGGACTGGGTCTTTTTGGACGAGACTTTACGACATATGGGGTTCGGTCCAATTATACGATCGTGGGTGTCGGCGCTATATTCCTCCCCAACGGCTCGGATCCGCATTAACGGAGCCCTAACGCAGTCCTTCCCGATTTGCAATGGGACCCGGCAGGGCTGTCCCCTGTCCCCTCTCCTGTTTGCCCTCTCTCTCAAACCGTTTCTGGAGGCGGTCAGACAGGACGGGGGTATAACGGGGGTGAGGGTGGGTTCCGAAGAGCACAGAGTGGCGGCCTATGCGGACGACATGCTCTTCTTCCTGGAACAGCCCAGGATTTCCATGTTCAACCTCCTACAGGCGTTTCGCACCTATCACCAGGTATCCAACTTGAAACTCAACGTGGAAAAGTCCGAAGCTATGCCGATAATGCAGGGGGAGGAACAGGCCCGCCAGCTCAGAGCTCAGTTCGCATTCTCCTGGTGCGCAACCAAACTACGGTACCTGGGAACCTGGCTACCAGCGGATCTGACGCAGGTATACAGGCTGAACTTTCTCCCTATCCTCTCCGCCATACAACAAGACCTCCAGGGGTGGACGCAATGGTACGTATCCTGGTTCGGCCGCATTAGTGCAGTCAAAATGAACATTCTCCCCAGGCTGCTATACCTCTTCGCGACACTACCCACCAGGATCCCCCAGACGTTCTTCAACTCGGTAACAACAGCGATCCGTGGGTTTGTGTGGAACCATAGGCAGACGCGTATCCGCAGGTCGATCCTGGAGAGACCGAAAACAGCGGGAGGGATGGGGCTACCATCAGTGATCTCATACTATAGGGCCACACACCTCCACAGAATAGTAGACTGGCACGCGAGGCCCAGCGCCAAACGATGGGTTTCCATGGAATTGCAACAGACACGGGGCACTGTCCCGTCGCAGCTCTGGCTGGGGGTGTCCACTTTCACCGACCTACACACTAAAAACCCGATGATAGATGCCACTCTCAGGGTTTGGTGCGGACTAAGGTATGTCCACCAACTCACCACCTCCCCAAGCCTGCTTACGCCCATTACACACAATCCGGGGGTGGCTGGAGGCCTTCACCCGGCTGCCCTACACAACTTTCAAAGGACAGATTGGTTCTATGTACGCCAGTGGAGTCCGGGGGGGAACGCTTCAACCGCTGGGCGACTTAATAATGGACAGGCAACCTACTGCACTTGACAAATTCCATTATCACCAAGTTAGGTCCTACTATGCCAAACTCCCGGGGAGAACTCACCTCCAACGTACACTTACGGAATTTGAACGATTGTGCACAGATAGACGACATCTAATCCATGGGGTATCCTATTTATATGCTCTGCTCCAGCAGACAGGGGATAGCGGCCCACTAGGCTACACGAGCAGATGGGAAAGGGAGACGGGTACACAGCTGACAGACCAAGAATGGGATAAAATATTCCTCCTCACCCATAAATGCTCAATCAGCTAGAAACTCCAGGAAACCAGTTACAAATTATTAACATGGTGGTACATAACACCAGACTCACTGAGACATATACACGGGACGGACACGGGCGACTGTTGGAGATGTGGCTT